CCCCACAGGAAGCTCCACCTAAGCTCTCCGTGGCGGAACTCGCATGGCGGCCCACTGGCGGAGTTCGCATGGCGGCGACTTTCGATTTTCGGATTTTTTTCGTCGTATTCGACGTGTTGAGGCCGCTTTCGGGCCGCGCATCCCTGGCGGGAACCAGCCTGCTCGCTCTCTGTGCTCCGCGCAGCGGACGACCCGCGCGCGTCGCCGGGACCCCTTCGGGGCGACCAACGCGCGTCGCGGGGACTCCGTGCGGCGCCTTGGACGCGGGCGTGCACGGGCAAAGAGGGAAAATAACAACGGGAAGGAAGCGGGCGCGATCCTCGTTAGAGGCGTGCCGACATGGGCGTCGACATTTATGCACGTAGACTCACGCGCGCGCAGACTCATCCACAATCAGACTCACTCGCTCTCAGTCTCTCGCACACCGACCTATCGTCATCGCTCGCGTTGTGTGCCCCGCCGCCCGCGCATGTCGGCACGCCCCTCGCGCGGTTCGTCGCCCCACAGGGAGCGCGGGCGAAGATGATATTCATCATTGCGGTATTCACAACTGCATATGGTTGGGTCCTTCGCCAGGCAGATTTTTCTCTCTAGAATCCTAAATCTTCGAAGGTTGGAAGCGGGAAAACGCGAGAAGGCGACAAACATTAGAAAATCCATGGGGAATCAACGATTTTACTCTCTTTGGACGGCTCTCGCAGCTCTGCTGGGCTGTTCTTGGAGCCTCATCAAGGTCTTTTTAAAGCCTCTCAAGGATCGGGGGTGTGTTGACGGCCTCTGGGGGGACCCGGAGGCCTCTCGGAGGTCTCTGGAAGCCTCCTGCTCCCGCTCTTGGGCACATCTTGGGCCTGTTCTGGGGTGGTCTGGGGCTGTCCTGGGCGCCTCTTCGGCAGTCTTGGAGCCTTCTCGGCCCGTCTTGGGGCCGTCCTGAGGGTCTCTTGGGTGGTCTTGGGGAGCCTCTTCGGCGCTCTCGGACCAATGGAAGCTCGAAAACGCGAGAAGCCCAAAGCATGGAAAAAACTAATGAATATCGACGATTTTGGCCTCTTCGGGTCGTCCTGGGACGCCTATCGGACCTCTCTTGGGGTCTCTTGGAGGTCACCTGGGAGCCTCGAGAGCCGTCGGAAGGCTGACTTGGGCTGCTTGGGAGCGTCTGGGACCATCCTTTCGCCTTCTGGGGGCTCCTGGAAGTCGTCTTGGACCCTCCTGGGGCGCTGTGGAGGCTCCCCTGAACGCCCGGGGGAGCGGTACCGGGAGCGTTCCCGAGATGTCCCAGGGAGGTGTGGCACCCGGGGCCGGGGGGGGGGCGGTATTTGTTTTATATTATGTTTATGTTTATGTATACGTATACGTATATGTATATGTATATGTATAGGTATATGTATATGTCTATGCATGCGCATATGTATACGTATACGTATATGTATATGTATATGTATATGTTTATGTATATGTATATATACATATATACATGCATGTATGTATGCATACATGCATGTATTTATGCATGTATGTATGCCATTCCATATGTATGTATGCATGTATGCATGTATGTATTTATGTATGCATGCATGTATGTATGTATGGATGTATGTATATGCGTGTGTATGTATGTATGTATGTATGTATGTATGCATGCATGCATGCATGTATGTATGTATGTATGTATGTATGCGTGCATGCATGCATGCATGTATGTATGCATGTATGTATGTATGTGGGTAGGTAGGTAGGTAGGTAGGTGAGTAGGTCGGTAGGTAGGTAGGTAGGTAGGTAGGTAGGTAGGTCGGTCGGTCGGTGGGTGGGTGGGTGGGTAGGTAGGTAGGTAGGTAGGTAGGTAGGTAGGTAGGTAGGTAGGTAGGTAGGTGTATATATATATATATACACCACAGAATAGGCGCTACCAACAACGAGGGGCCTTCCCGCGGCGCGGCCAGGTGTTTCCGCATGAGTTTTGCGGAACCAGCACGACCCAAAAGGACTCTAAGAGGCCCCATAAGGCGGTACAAGAGCGCCCCGAATCGCCCGAGCGCAGCTCCAAGACGCCCAGTATGGCCTCCAGATGGCCCCACAAGGCCAACAAGACATCCCAAGAGGGCTCCAAGAGGCCCCTAAAGAGGCCCCCGAGAAGTCAAAATCATTGATCGACCTTTTGTTCTTGCGTGACTGCTCAAGAAGCCGCCAAGCTCGCCCCAAGAGGCCCTTGGAGAGAGAGAGCCCCCAGACTGCCCAAGAGGGCCCCAAGACAGCCCAAGAGGTTTTTTGCCATCAGACGATGCAAGTACTAGGCCTTTCGCAATTCAAGTCAGTCCTGTCTCTTCTGGAACAATGCCGCGCCTGCTGCCGCAACGTTCTGCCCGGTCAAGGTATGCCTGACACTGAAATTGCCCGTCTGTCAAAATGGACCGAAAGCCTCCGAGATCAAGAGTTGTCCAAGATATCACGAATCCCTTGAACATCTCGATGGTTCTGCGGGGAGAGGGAGATGGAGGGAGGACAGGGGGGGAACAAGATAGCGTCACTAGAATCATCGCACGCTTCACTGTAAAGAAGCCCAGGAGGCCCCCACGGCGGCTCAACAAAAGGCCTGAGAGAGGCCCCAGAGGGGGATCACGAACCGACATGTCGAGCCCTCCGCCCCCAAGACAACCTCTGAGGCCGCCAGCTGGCCCCCAAGACGCCCCCCAGAAGCTCCAGGAGGCCCAAAGCAGGCCCAAAGAGACCACAAAAGGCATTCGGGAGGCTCAAAGATACCCCACGACCGCCTCCAAGAGGCTTCTGAGAGGCCTCCCAAGAGATCCCCACATGCATCCACAACGACTCTTACAACCAAATCACGGTGGCGGTGGGCAGAAAGTCACTTTATCCGCCGCATCCTGTGGCTTGCCGCAGTGGTGCACGGCGTGCCAAGCGTTGGGTTTTGATTCTTCCAAGTTCTTCCCAACGGTGTCTCGGCCCAGCCCGCCGCCCACTCGGAGAGACCCATAGAAGGTATCTCCCATCGGCTTTCTCTCTTACGATGGCCTCCCGATGGCCTCCAAGACGTTTAAGATTGTCCAATGAACCTCCAATGCAATTCCAACTTGCACCCAAGACGGCCCAAGATGTGTTCCAGACGGTCCAAGAGGCCTCCCAAGAGGGCTCCAACAGGATCTCCAGCCCCCTGAGGTTTCTGAGTGATTTTTAGCGTTCTCGCTGTTTCGGGCTTTCGGTGCTCCAAGACGGCCCGACATGCCCCCAAGATCGATCCAAGATAGCCCAAGAAGCCCCCACAAGAGGCCCCCCAAGAGGCCGGCAAGACAACCGAATATGGTCCCAAGATGGTTAAGAAGCCCCCAAGACGGCCACATCGACCTCCAAGACGGCTCGAACGCGCCCAAAGACGGACCCACGACTGCCCAGAGAGTGGCTCCAAGACGGCCTCCGAATGCCAGGCGGTCCCTCAAAGGCCCCCGGAGGCACCACCCGAGGAGGCCCCCACGAGGCCCCTCAGAGGCCCCGAACAGGCTCCCAGGAAGCCCCCAGGAGGCCACAAGATGGCCTCAAGAGGCCTTCTCCTCTTCCTCCTCCTCCTCGTCCTCGTACTCTTTCTCCTCCCTCTCACCCTCCTTTCTCTTCTCCTCCCAGGTGTTCCCTCAATGGGTTCCACAACGGCTGGAGGAACGCATAGTACAGTAGCTTGGCCAAAATTCGAACCAACGTCTGGCCGCATGGGCATAACCAAAAGGCAGGGGATGGCGGTGATTCGCTGTGAGCATCTTTGTTCAATAGCTCCTCTGCGCCGCGCCACTAGGCGTGTTGGTAAAGCCGGTCAGGCGTTTCGCATCAGACTTCCGCACCGCTCATGATCCTGAAACTGCAATTTTCCAGGAATTACGCAGATGGAGACCATTCCGTTTTCAAACTATGGCTCACATCTCGGTGCCGCTCTCTTCCGCACGAAGATTTCCTACACTACATGGATGGAGGTCGCGTGCTTTTAAAACTTTCGCCCGAATACCGCTCACATTCATCAGACAAGCTCACAGCAGCTACACGGATGGAGGGCGGGTCGTCTTTCAGTATGTCACTATCACCTGGGCGCCGCGCACAGGTGCTAGCTTCAGATACTTACGCAGAAAGAAAGCAGCTTCCTTCATTAGATGGGTCTCGCCTGATACTTGCGCAAACTTGGTAGCCAGAAGAGCAAGCTTGCGCAACGTTTCCAAGTATGGAGGGCGGCTACTTTTGAAAATTGTGCTCCCGCTTGAGACTTCAACGAGAAACTTAGGAGTGTGCGATAGGTATACACGGCGGAAGGCGGTGCCTTTTCAAAGACCCAGACACTTTCTCGACCTTGACGACCCTACCTCTCAAATTCAGCACACGCAGAAGGATGGAGTGCGGCTCCTTGTCGAAACGGAGCTCTCGCTTGAATTGCAGGCCGATGGGGCCCTCGTCTTTCACGGGGGGCGCTCCCCCTCATGAGAAATAATTCTGAGTAGGGACTTCTGAAGAGACTTGGGAAGGGAAAAAGTACTACAACACCGTTGATGCATGTGGCGGATTCTGGAAACCCTGAACCCCAAAACCGTTGTCACCTCTTTGGGGCGCATTTTTCACTTCCGCCACCTCCCGCCGCCCTTCCGCCGGCTTCCGTTGGCGGAGGCGGCCTCGTTTTACTTCCGCCGACCTTCCGTCGAGGAAGAGATGACAGCTCCTTCTATCAGAGCGTGAATTACCTCCCCCGCTTTCGCTTCCAGGCAAAACCAAGCCATACGACGCGCCTCCTCGTCAAGCGTCCTGACCAGTACAGGCCGCAATTTGGCATTGTTTGGTATCTCTTGGAAGCGAGGGTGGTCAAAAGCGAGGTAGGTTTGTTTTCCCCCGATTCTATCCTTGAAGGCACGGCCCTTTTTGGAACGCCCCCTGCCGGGTTCTCTTGGGTCCACCCACTGCACCAACCCTCCGATGACGCTGTCCAGCGGGGACGCGGCGCGGAGACGCAGGCGACGGAGGGCCTCCTTCGTCATGTCGAGCAGGGAATACCGCGACACGCCGCTCTCCGCGGAGCCGGGGGCTCTCGCGCCTCCGGTGTTTCACGGGCTGCCCCTGGGGCAGCGCCTCGCCACGTGTACTCACGTGCCGCATTGCACTGCGCAGTCGTGAGCTGCAGACCACGAGTGCGATCCACTTAACATACCCTGAGGACTCTGCTCTCTTTGAGTCCCGAATGCATGTCACATAATCGTGCTGGATGCATTGCGCTACATGGCGTCCCAATCCATGGCGTTACGTATCGGGAATTGCGCGGCAACGAATTAGAATCGGCTTCACATACGATTAGTCGCGTTGCGCTACGACGGATACGTTACAGCACACTCGCATTTCGTTCGCACGAATGCTTAATTCTACGTCGGGACCGATTGAACACAACACCCGAGAGGACACAACTCTCCAAAGGCAACCCGTAATCTGGACATGAAGAGGACACAACGGTATGTGTTGCAATGTCGGCCATCCAACAAAACCCGACTGCAATCGCTGAGTGCCATTGCATGTCCGTTACCACTGTTACGACGTAGCTACATTTCATGCACATTGCCTTGCAAATCGTTCCTGGCTGACCACGGTGTTCGATCCGATCACACCTCGCAACGTTCAAATGTGCATGATATCCTCCCACACCTGCAATGCGCTGCGTTAATCCACGTGAGATCCAAGACATCAGACTCCCCTTAGCCATTTAATCTTACCGCGCAAAGCGCTCTCACGTGCTACAATACTCCTAGAAGCCTTCTTGGCGCAGGTAGTTCAGCGAGTTGACAGCTCCACCCCCCTTCCTTTCCTTCGGGGGGGTACCTTCCCCAAACTCCCACGCCTTTGTCTGGACAGAGAAGGGACTACGTAAATAGAGCGTCCAACCACGCAAGGGTATCGACATGAATCCAGTGTAGCCGAATACGGCTCCTTGAGATGCCCAGACAGCCCACGACTGCCCTGAAACGTTGCACAACATAATCCATGCAACGTGCCTCCATGAAACACAATATCACCCCAATGCGGTTTGAAATTACCACGGGATCTCCAAATTATATTTCCGATACGCCATACATCCTTTCAATGCAGATGGTGTTTCAAACTGGTACTTGCATTATCGCCATTCCATTTCTTTGTTTGATTGGCTTCCGAGACCTAAGAGGGCTTCGAGAACACCCACAAGAGCCCCAAAAGAGGCCCACGAGGGCTCCACAACGGCTCCAACAAATCACCTCTCAGATCGCCCCAGGAGCGCCCCAGGAGGCCGCAAGACGAGACCGTCCGAGGGAGCGTCCCACCAGTTGACCCAAGGGGGGGGGGTGGGCAGGAGGAGGAGGAGGAGGAGGAGGAGGAGGAGGAGGAGGAGGAGGAGGAGGAGGAGGAGGAGGGAGGAGGAGGGCGAGGAGGAGGAGGAGGAGGAGGAGGAGGAGGAGGAGGAGCAAGGCTTGGACCCTCCCTCCCCCGCTGCCCTCGGTCCGCCGTCCAGCGGCGCCCCCTCCCCCTTCCAAAGGGGGGGGAAAGCAACCCGCCCCCCCTCCAACCCTCTCGGGCGGGGGGTCGCACCCCCTCCCCCCCCCCCCCGTCTGCCTCAAAAGGGGTGCTCTGGCACCCTACCCGCACCACCCTACCACCCCTCCTCGAACACCCTATAGCGCCCTAACCCTAGCATTCTGACCCTAACCGTGACGCTCCAACCCTAAGCAAGAAGCCCAATCGTCTCTTGGGGACATCCGGGACCGTCTCGGGGGCCTCTTGGCCGCTCTCGGGACCCACCCGGGCCGTCTCGGGCGGGGGGAACGCGCGTGGTGCGCCCCAAACTCCACCCTACGCCCATCCGCTGAAACCCTTCCTACAAAGTTGCTCCCCCCCCACCCGAAACGCCATCACTCGTACCTCATTGTTTTCGTCACCTGGGCTGGCATGGACACGCAAAGAGCGCCATCATCTTTGAGAGGGAGCAGGCAATCGCTGGAAATATCATGAATCATGAGGTCCGTGAAATCTCAAGGAGGTTCTCGAGATGTCAAAGCTAACAACACATTGAAATCCACATGTTTGTTTCAACGCTGTTTGCCCTCCGCGTATTCTCGGCCGAAGAATGGCCGAGAAGGCCATCATCAGGGAGACGTAAGACTCGAATTTGGAGGATTTGAATTGGCTTGACGGGGCCGTCAGAAAAACGACGAGACCCAATCTGACATTTGACGCGAACGCCCGCTGCAAACCTCCCACGGAAACTGGACCGCCTGAATTCAGGACGGGCCCGTCAAAAAACTTTGGCAAACCCGAGATCCAATGAACTTGAATCTTACGTTTCCCCGACATCAGCTGTTCCGAAAGTGAAGCAAACCGGCCCTGGAAGAGAATCAACAGGAGGCATACTGAGAACATCATAAGAATTCCTAACAAAATGTTGCAACGGATCCCACAATTTTTTAGAGGCCTTCCCTTCCTTACCATCCAACTGTAGTACAATGTCAT